CACCGCCTTTAACTTCTTCCAGAAGCAGTATTCTCTAGTGAGAAAGGCGTACGACAGGTTCAAGAGCAAAAGTCTGAGTTCGCGCCTTGCCGCTCGTTCCCATTATGACATAGAGGGTTTAGTCTCTGTTTTTTGACAATTTCACGGTAACTGAAGTTGATAATCATGTTCAGCAGACTGAATTAGTTTGAAATGGTGGGAAAAGGTAGTCGAGAATTTGAACACCACTTTTACGGACTTGCTCATAAAATGGCAAAAATTTTATGTGTGTTGTATGCAAATGTAAGAAGTAGTCATTCTCATATTCACAAGTAAACTTAGAACACAAGCAAACCAGTAATAGTACATATTCAGCAAATTCTATCCTGGGTCTCCTCTACTGTTTAACATGACATTCTATGGCTGCAAAGGAACATCAGCCGAAGTGAATTGGCTGGAGCGCGTGCAGATAGATATCACAGTAGAGCATTCACGAAGAGGACTAATCTCACTTTTTCTCACAAGCCCATCAGGTAATACTAGAATTCTTCTCTAATTTTTCTTTTTGATTCAAAACACATAAAGGAACAACTATTCAACTGCTTCATCCGCGAAAAAACGACGACTCCCCCGAAGGTCTCCGTGAATGGCCTTTTGTAAGCGTCGGACATTGGGGTGAAAATCCGAATGGGGTGTGGAAGTTGGAAGCAATGTCAATGGTAGGTTTAATTCATTGAAAATGGCGTTTTTTCGAGATTTTTCACAACTGCTGGATTGTTTAGAGTCACAATAAAGACGCCAAAGCTCTGGGTGTTCTGAGTTTCGTAAGGCTGACGGCTCATGGAACCAAAGATGATCCTTTGAAAGATAACGCATTCATTCTTCATACTGTTTGATTCCCACCCTGATGCAGCGAGCCATTTCGCAATTGAAAGATAGGATCTGTTTTTTACCACTCATTCAACTGAAGAAGCAATGTTTAACTGAAATCTGACTTTACAAATTCTCTGGATTCTGATTTGCAGATTCCAACTTTCTCCAAATGAACTTCCGAAAAACATTTATTTGAACAAAAATGTATGTACAACAGCACAACTATAAAAAATATATGTGGAATATAATGAGCATGTAAGTGATTGGAGGTGCGTATGAGATTGTTTTTCTGAGAAATGTTGCCTTCCGTCGGCAACACATCGGTACTCGTTCTATCACAGATCGTCGAGGGGATTTGAAAGATAAGAAAAAGCTGCTATCATTTGACTAGAAGTCGTAGTGCGCTGAGCGGGGTGGAGTTGACAGTGAATAGCGAAGGAACGTCTCCGACTCAAAATCACCCATCTCCATTAGCGATGGTGGTCCGTTAAGAACTGAAAAATGATGGATTCCCATCAAAAGAGGAATTTACAACACAAAAATAGTGGTCGCTAGTCGTCATTTATCAGCCGACACCTTCGATACGCTTAGCAGCTGCTCCACACGCTCTTTTTCACCTGGAATCACTAGGATACGAGCTAGAGCGAACAAATTGGTACTGAGTTTCACAGGCGAAAACTAGCGTAACAAGGTTTTC